TATGTAGGAAGAATTATTTTCAGACAACAATCTGGTATCTATTCTCAGTCAACAACTTTGTTGATATTGATTACAGTTAGGTGAAAGGATCAAATTTAATTGGGCTATATTCTCGAGTTATTTGTGAATATATAAGGTATTATATGAAGATAAATATTGGTTGGTTTCTGTCACAATTTGATAAGTTCATAGTGTAATTAAAACCTATGACTCTGCATGAACTATGTGATGAATGTATCCGTTCCAGCCGTTTTTGAGGGTGTTGGTGCTATTTTATATACTTGAATTTCACATGGTTAGACGCAGTTTGACACGCTCTACAATATTATGCTAAAAAATCTGTGGTGGTTTGAAAACTCCGCCCAGGAAGAGGCATAGACTGAGAAAAACAAGCAATTTTTATATCACACTTTTTTTCTGTATGCTTATACAACTCCATAGCTAAACATCCAGAATACATGATGTTTTTTTCTTTTTTGTGTAACATGTCATGATCTATCAAATGACACCTGAACCAGCTCGGTATCTCTATTCGTTCAAGAGAAAATGTCAAAATACTAACTATACCTGAATTTCCTCAAAAATGACATCAGCACTGTGAAGGAAAAAAAGTTGGCTTAGGCTAAAAAATTTTCAGAAGAGTTTTGAGCCGAAATATTTTGGGCTTTTTCATGTCACCAAGTGTTCTTTCAAACCAGCTAGTTAAGAGCGAAAAAAAATATTTTTGCTCCGGCCGGCATATGAGAAATTTTTCGATATTCTCACGGACCCTCTCTTAAAGGTCCAATTGGAAAAATCATGGAAAACGTGATTACATCCTGTTTTTAGCTTGTTTCGTTCATTCCGATTTTATTACAAAATTTTCTCAACAATGTCTACATCGCAAAAAAACGAAACAGACCACTAATTTTATTTTTGAAAGTAATGAATTCTAATACACTCTGTCATGAGGATCCTCAATATGCCGTTGGTTTTGAAATTCGAACAAGTGTTGGTGAAATATCGCTGGTTTTTCGATATGAGATCGCCGCATTGGCTGATGCTTTCTCATGGACACATTCACCTAAACTTTTCATTATCTGATTGGTATTAATTTGAAAGCAAATCCGATTCGTATTACATTTTACCATTAATTGACCTTTTCTCTTTATTCTTCCTATTGATACTTTTTTCAGGTGGATCAAATTACACCGAAAACACATGAAAAGGTCATTTATTATCATTTCCATTATCTTTTTTTCAATTTATTCCATTGTACAGATGATCTTATCATATATTTATTTCAGTTTTCTAAATACCTAACAGTCAAAATCTGAACATTGATTATCGTTTTGAAGTGAAATGATAACACAGACTCTACACGCTGTGGACTATGTACTTCTTGTTTTACTTCTTTTAACATCAGCAATTATCGGTATTATATTTGGTATTTTCAAAAAAAAGAAAAGTTCAGCAAAGGAATTTCTTCTTGGTAAGAAATTTTTCTATTTGATAAAAAATAATTCAATAATTTTTTTTCTAATAAAGGTAACCGCGAAATGGGAGTAAGCATTGAATTATTACATTATGTTGATTATTGAATATATATTTAGGTATTTCCAACAGCTCTAAGTATAGCGGCATCGTTCCTATCAGCTAATACTCTTTTAGGAATGCCAAGTGAAGTTTATATGCATGGAACTATGATCTCTTACAATGGTATGAAATAGTATGAATATTTTCAAACAAAGCTCTCTTTCTGTCTCTCTCTTATTGGCAAATATTTCTATTTTAGTTATTGGACTTATCATAGCGACAGTAATAACAGCATTGGTATTTATGCCAAAATTTCGTCAAATGAATTGTACAAGTATTTATGAAGTATGTTAACATTTCACATTGATTATACGTGATATTAAGATATTTTATTCAGTATTTAGAACAACGTTTCGATCGTACTGTACGTGTTTGTGTTTCTATTGTCTTTTCGTTTTCAATGGTAAAAACGAAAGTATAATTCGATTCATTGAATATTTATGATATTCATAGTTGATCTATATGGCTATTGTTTTATATGCTCCAGCTTTAGCACTCAGTCAAAGTAAGAGAATGATTGACTTTTCTCCAAGGAAAACTATTACTCAATCTAATTTAGCCACTGGTTTAAATATATGGCTTTCTGTTTTTACAAGTGGAATTGTTTGTACCTTTTATTCGTCTTTAGTATGGAAGTATTCAATGAAATAAATGAGTGATATATGTACTATATTATAGGGCGGAATGAAAGCCGTTATTTGGACTGACGTTCTACAAGCATTAGTTATGCTTATTGGTCTTCTCTCAGCAATTTTACAAGGTATGTTGAAGTGATTAAATAGATTAAAAATCAATCATCCTTTTTTAGGTTTGATTGTACTTGGTGGTTTTGGTCCGACATTTTCGATCGCATCCAAAGGTGATAGAATACAATTTAATAAGTACTCTTTAAAAATTCGCTCGTTATCTATAGAATATTCGAATATTTCTCTTGTTTAGTATGAGTATAGATCCTCGAGTTCGTCATACAGTTTGGTCTTTAAGTATTGGTGGTACTTTCAATGGTTTATGTGCTTATAGTTTTAGTCAAACATTAGTTCAACGATATATGAGTGTTCGAACAACACAGGGTGCTAAACAAGCATTATTTATTAATATCATATGTGTAGTGTTCATCATTCTTTCGTGTTGTTTCCTTGGAATTATAATTTATTCATATTATGCTGATTGTGATCCATTTACGGCCAAATATATTTCGACTATTGATCAAATATTTCCTTATTTTGTAATGGACGTTTTAAGTTATATTCGAGGTTTACCAGGAATTTTTCTTGCTTGTACATTTTCTGGTTCATTGTCAACAATATCCTCTGGTTTAAATAGTCTTGCAGCTGTAATTATCGAAGATATTTATAAAGGTTTAATGAATGGGAAATTAACTGATGAAAGGCAAGGTTTCGTTTCAAAGATTTTTTCAATTATCTTAGGAATTGTTGTCATGTTATTAACATATATAGCAAGTCATTTAGGACCGATATTCATTGCCACAATATCTCTATTGGGTGCTTTACATGGTCCGATTATGGGTGTTTTTTTACTTGGTTTCTTTTTTCCACGAGCTAATCGACGTGGAGGTTTAATTGGTTTCATTTCTGGTATTGTTCTATCATTATGGATCTTTATTGGATCACAAATGACGAAATCTCAAAGAGGAAGTGAACGTTTGCCATTATCTATTGTTAGTTGTCCTTTATTAATTAATCAAACAATAAGTGTTTCTATTCCAATCAAGTAAACAACTTGAATTATTGATTCAGATCAATTGTATTTAATATATTTCAGATCGGATCCATTATTTAAATTGTATTCTGTTAGTCATATGTGGTATTCAACAATTGGAGTTAGTTTAGTTCTGATTGTTGGTGTTATTGTCTCATATTTAACACATCCACTTGAATCTCACGAGATTGATCAAAATTTGATTATTTCAATAAATAAAAAGACTTTTCGTCATTGGTTTCGTTGTGATATTGATCATGAAAACGACACAGTTTGTATTCAATTTATTGAATAATCATCATTGATAATTTAGTTTCATTGTAGGAACAGACAAATGAAAATGAACTTAATATTAGGAAACCATTTATTCCTTTGGCAATTTTGAAAAAAGCAAATGATAGTTAATCCATTGTCTTAACAGTTTCGTGTTGAAAATCTATAAAATTCTCTAATAAACACAAATCGATTAATTTTAGAATCAAATAAACAAAATTCACGGTTAACTCATCATTTTTTCAATTTTGCCCAAGAGACAAAAACGTCTAGTTTTGTTAAAACGAATGGCCACATTTCTACTAAATTTATCTAAGAGGAAAATGTTAGATTATGAAAAAATCATCAAATTTAATACTGAAAATCTCTCCTGTTTGCATTAAATCAGATGATTTCATCGAATCAATCGTGATAGTTTAACTGAGTTCATTAGTAATGATGAATGTCGCTTTTCGTTCATGGTTTTAGAATAAGTTTATTTATGAATAAAAGAAACATTTCTGTTTTTTGTACAAAAAGTTAGGAGAAAACCTAACAAAGCAAAGCTGCATTCCCTACAAAACTGTCGTTAGAAAGTTTATTCGTCGTTTTTATTAGGATATTAATATCAATATCATAATCAAATCTATAGTCGTTTCCAAGTTTCATTAGATTATCTTTCATGCATCACTCGATATTATGAGATCTAGCCCGAGTTACTTTTCAGTCTTTTATTACGTTGTTTATCGCTTTTAATCACCCGTCTCACTAACTTGACTGAATTGTTACTGGTTGATAGTACGCCATCTTATGTTCCTGATCAAGTATTAGCCGTGATGACCAATCTAGTTAAACTGGAAATTGATAATTATTGTCTGAATGAAATATCATATTCTACTGCTCTGTTGGCTAAGCTTGAAGAATTTCGATTGCCTAACACTCATTTACGGTCGATGCTCGAATCTACTGGTAATTGACGAAGTGATTTATATTGAGGGAAATGTTTTTCTTCCTAGCTTTTTACAACAAAATCAAAGATATCACTGATTTGCCGGGAGTCACATTGCGAAACATAAGGACAATGAATCTTTCTCATAATGAAATTTACTACATTTCTCTGGAAATTAGTCGATTTTATTTTGCGCTTACTTATCTTTATTTCAACGGCAATCGACTCAAATATATACCCACTGATACGTTCAAATCACGATATCTTTATGAAGGAAATTTCAAAAGAAAAGAAAATAAATAACATGCAAATGTATTGATTTAACCATCATCAATGAAAAATAGGAATGATGTCTATTTTTTTTCGTTTGTCTCTTGATAAAGTAGTCAAATATTTGCACAGAACGAGATAAAGAAAAATGATGATTCATACGTGAGTAATGGGATAGAATGATGTTTTAAAGTAACTGCGCCATAACTGAGTGAGAAGAGAAGGAAAAAACAACCAAAAAGGTTTTTTTGATGGCTGTAACTTGCAACACAACGTTTTCTTGGAGTATTTTTGATTACGAAACAGAAACGACTTGTTCTCCGACCGATGAACATTATCTTGATCGTCTATTCTTTGCGGTTGAGTCGCATGACTTACTGGCTATCAAGTTTTTTTCCAATGAACAATTACGAAATCTATGTCGTGTTCGTCGATTTTTCGATTCGGAATGGGCAGCACCGGCGAAAGAGCAGCAAACTGCCTACCAACGTGCTTGTTTACTTGGGTACACAAACATTGTACAGTATATGTTAGACGCAGGTGTTCGAATTGATCAATTATTCTCATCTGCCAATACTTCAAATGTTGAACGAGGTGCATTTATGTTTGCTTGCCATTCGGATTCCTTGCCTACCGTTCGATTGCTGTTACAAGCGCTCTCGAATGATTATATTGAACATTATAAATCGAGGAACAGAACAGCTCTGTGTTCTACTTCCTTTGCAAGACAATACTTAATTCCAGCAAGAAGTGAAACCGAAGCACTAGTTTCTGGAGAAAATGATTTGGAACGTGTCTTTCCTATTCATTTTGCTATTGCTCGAAATGATCTGGAGTTAACACGTCTGCTCGTCACAGGAGCTAATGGAGAATTAGACACAATCAACGATTGGGAACCTCTTCGACATGGAGGATTCACTCCTTTGCATATTGCTTGTTTATTCAATCGACCATTATCCATGATCAAATTGTTGCTTTTTTTTAGTAGAGTCACTGTTAATCCTATACTTCAAACAAGTAATCAAGGAACATTTGCTGATCAAATGACAACAGTTCAAGAAGTGACTGAATATATTCGACCAAAACGGGTGACTATTTTGGACGAACAGGAAAAGCAACGTTTGAAGGAATTGGAGGAAATGCAATCGGGAAGACCTTATCAAATCACGATTAAACCGCTTTCGGGTCAGACACTCACACTCACTGTCAATGGAAATATGACGGTAGAGGAGCTCGGAGTACAAATTGAAAATCATTGGGGTGTTTCATCTGACCGACAAAAGCTATTTTTCTTGGGTAGACCCATATACACCGCGCCTATTTCGGGTTTTGATGTATCATTAACTCTCACTCACTACAACATCAAAAAGGATTCACTTCTCCATATCATATATCACAATCCAAAATAGACATTATTTAACTCTTTATTTACGCTTTTTTTCCTTTCTAAAACAGTCTGAAATAACTTTTATTAATATATAGAAGTATTTAAAAGTGTTTTAAAGTATGATGATCCTCAAAACAAGCTACCACGCAAAGCCCGACGTTACAAACATCACATTGATAACGTCTATAGGTACATTTTTGAGTAGCTGCCTAATTCGACCAAATGATGTGCTATAGCGTTTACCGGGAAATTGAATCTGCTGATCGGAAAAACTGAACAGTTTGAGCAGCTATAATTCTCATATAGGGCATAATAGGGCAGAATTGAGGTATTAGCCGTTGAAAATATGTGATTCTGTTTACTAACGGGATCTCTCTCAATGAGGGTGTGCGGAGTGGGTACCGGTGCCGTTTATGCCCATTATGCCGCATTATGGAAAGTCCCTAATGAGCATTAGGTCCATTTCGGCTGCTATGCACTTTCATATTGGGTGGTATTGTAGTCTTAAGTTAGAATTTCCCGGAAAACGCTATCACGCATCAAATCAGAAAAAACAGAACATGTCTTTTTTTGGTGAGAAGTAGTGTTTGTTCTCCTTGTTGTACTCTCCGTAATGAAGACATGCATTTTTCACGGAATCAACTTTGGCGACAGAGTAGAAACTATAGAAAAGCTAGCATAGCTTCGCGGAACGAATGAACACGGCATTTTCTCAGAAGTAGGTAGGCAATCAAACAATTATTCTTAAAATCACCGACGATGGTTACTTCCCATCCATAAATCTGTGTGAATTCTGGACGTGTCTTCATTAATCAAGGACATTCTTTTAAAAGTGTCTCAGAGAATACTTACCAGAGCCCAAAACGAAGTGAACATTCGCCTAGCTGAAAAGTGACGCCTCGGTATGTCAAGCGACATTATTATTAGTGAAAAATTAATTCCTTTTGATTAGGTCTTTAATTTCATTAGTAAAAACCGTACCATATTGACTGAATTACTTTTATTTATTCTTCAATTTCACTTCTAATTTTTTCGATTATTTGGTGTGAAAATATGCGTTTAACTTATATCAATGTGAATTTAAATGATGAAATTCTGTTGCTTTCTTCTCCAAATCGTGCTAAGCCTCGCCCTAATACATCTTACCCATTTTTTTCTATACTGGAATCATCAACAGTTAGTTGAAAATAACAAAATAAAAACTTCACTATAAATCAGTGGTATGTGCTCATCTGCCTACTATCCAGAGTTATAGACATTTCACTGGAGTTTTTATCTATCACAAGGCATGTACGAACAAATCGAATGTCGGTTTTTAAAGCTGAGATTTTAGGTATAGACAAGTCTATAGATAGGTAGAATGTTTCTTCCGCGAGACAGCACAGTCGCAAAAATTGCTCATATCTTATGAGAGACGCTTTGAGTTTTTCGTCTTTTTTGCGACTGTGCTGTCACGCGGAAAAAACATTCTGCCTATCTATAGACTTGTCTATACCTAAAATCTCAGCTTTAAAAACCGACATTCGATTTGTTCGTACATGCCTTGTGATAGATAAAAACTTCAGTGAAATGTCTATAACTCTGGATAGGAGGCATATGGGCACATCCCCTTTTAAGGTTTTCCATACCTTACTGAGGTCTATCTATCCTCAAAAGATGGGATCTAAAGCGCCTAATCATCTCGGGTGGTTCCCTCGTAAGTTTGTGAGCAGTTCTCTCATTATGGCAAATAGTGTCTTGTTATCTGCGAGTCCATAATAGACTTTGAGTGTTAAAGCTTCATGCATATTTTGCTGTTGTTGTGTAGTCGAAAAGCTTCACAAACACTTGATTGATAGAAGTCTTCACCCACCCTCTCTTTCACATCGCTAAGTTCAGGCGCAGCCACTTATCTCACCTAGAAATTCTTGCATAAGACATCGCGAAAGGTAGCGACACAAACAAAACAGTGTACTTCAATTATTTTGGGAGTAGCTGCCTAATTCGACTTATAATATAAATGAAACTTAACTAAACTGTCTATGTTTATAAATGAATTCTAAACTTTGTCCAAGGAAAAAGAAAAAGTTTTTATAAATTATAAGTTTATAAATGGGCCAGCACCTTCCGTCAGTGTTCCCCAAAGATCTAGGAGTAGGTTGTTTGAGGGATGGTGAGGGTTTAATTGGACGCAAGTGTTGTTTAAGATTCACGGATGTGGCCGTAGGTGATGAATGTTAAAGGGCGATCAGAATGTGTCGAAGTCTCTTGGTTATGTCGTGTTTTGCTCATGAAATAGATTGAGAAAGTATTAGTAGAGATGTATCATTTTCTAGATATTGATAAGATCTGTCATCGAAAAAATGATTATCCAAGTTCGATCATGCCTGTCGAAAGACATGATTTTTCCGTCAAACACTTCACTTCTGAGCTTTTTCTATCGTATATTTTTGGAAGACGGAAAATACTCTTGTATCATTTGAAATGCAATGTGGTCGCAAGATGTTTCACGTAATTGGTTAGAGTTTGAAAAGGGCGACAAGGATATCATGATTCAAAAGTCATATAATGTGACTGCTGTTGGAAAATTGAACGAAATAAGAAACCTATGAAGATTTTCCTGGCGTTTAATGCCGAAACGATACTCAGTTTTCCTCAATTGTAATTAGTTTATTGAGTCTTCTGTTTGTTATCAAAGCTCAGAGAAGTTTTTCTTACATGCAGTATCCGACAATGCATCTGAACACATGAATTTACATATAAAAACTGACGTCATTAAGGTCATAGAAGGTCGAAGATTCTCTTATATGCGCATGATGCTCACAACTGTATTTGTCTGTCATTTTTGCTATGAGTTTTGTATATGAGAGGGTGATCCGAATCTTGTTTTTCAGTTATATTCATATAGCTCTTTCACATTCTATCCAACCCGATAAAATAACCTTATTGAAATAGCTAGGAAATAATTTCACCAGATATGCTAAATGACTGCAACATAACAAGAAAATTGTTAGTCTTGCAAAAAATATAAGGTAGAATATCTTCAGCGGTGTTTGATCAAATCACCATAACTTTCACAAGTTCGATGAAACAGAACGGCGTCGAAAAAAAAGGAAAGATCTCATCCACTCGATCTAGCCACACACACACACTCAAATTTATGATTTATAAAAAACTTTTTCTTCTTTCTTGGACAAAGTTTTTATAAATTAGAAACTTATAAATAATGGAGTATGATAAGGTTTATTTTATAAGTAAAGTTTTTCATTCAACTGTGAATTTATATTATAATTATAATTAGGCATCTGATGCTATCGAGTGTTTGAGCGTCATTCATTACAATACAATGTCACAAAATGAAAAAATTGAAAAACTTTGACTTTTATTCTAGAAAAAATGGTAATTCGAACTTCGATTGTCTATCTTCACGCTAAAATACTCAATTACAATCTCTTTATACCAGATGAAGATGATTACGACGATGAACATGACTTATCTACAAGTGCCACAAACTTCGTCGAGCGACAAATATACTCAACATGGGTTTATGTCTTTCTTCTCACAAGTAAGTGCATGCATGTATGTATTCTTTGGTACAGAAGGGAGTGTAGGATAAAAAAGAGAAAAATCTAACGGGATTACAAGAGTCGGTCTTTAGTCACCTTCATCCACCCCCACACCCTCATCCGCTTTGATAGACTATGGTTTTTATCGACTCTCAGAAATTTCGGATGATTACCTACGATTTTTAGAGTATCGAGCTACTACTACTTGTAGAACTGCAGCAGAATGTTAATATGAGGGATGCATTTAGAGAGGGATTAGAGTAATGTATAGCTGAATTTGACAATCTTCGACATACATCGTGGAATATGAATATGGAACTTTCTCCATTTTCATAGGATAATAAAGAGTGTGAGTATTAATTCTTTGCATTTGATAGTTTATCCCAAGATGATGATCCATATAGTAGGGAAGTATATTGCTTTTCACTTTTAGTCTTTGTTTATTTTTTGTTCTTCGTAACGTTGATCAATCCCCAAAGTCGAACGGTAGCAGTATCGAACCTCACTCCATCTCTCTTTCATCAACTTCAACGTCAATATGGTTCAACACTCTCATGTGCATGTACGACAATCGCAGTGCCCTATCAAACTTTCGTTTCCAATACAGTCTCCCTCCATCCTGTGTGTTCCAGTGGTTTTGTCAGTCAAGAATGGATTGAAGTATTTTACCTGCCGCTAGCAAGTTTATTTCCAATAGTAGATATTCGAACAACGGCATTTTCTCACGTAAGTCAGCTGAAACGACAAAGTATTCTCGTTCGCATTATGCTGGAGGGAAACTTATCTAATCTTTTTCAATGATTCAAAACGAACACATCGGACCAATGTCAGAAATCGCTCTCTCAAGGAAATCCTATATAATATTCTCAAGGTGCATTATTAGATGTATACTTTTAGTGAGAATTCATTAGATTTTGAATGAACTTCGTTCTTCTGCTTCTAGTTCGAACTACTTTCTGCTTTGTGTTCAATCTCGAATGATACAGTTTTACAATCATTGGCTGATATCGACATCAGTCAGCTAATTTCAGTCCAAGTGCTTACCGAAGACAATGTACAATCTGAGATTGCGGCACGCATTGCTCTTGTTCGAACCAGTGCGCCAAGTCAGACCGCTTCATTCTTAAAATTTCTTCAAGTGATATATCGATCAAATACTTTCGCTTCTGCGCTTGAGACAAATGCACACGTGATTGTTTCCGATGGCGCATATGTTTATACGACAGAGTATCCTCTTGCAGTTAACAATATTTACAACACGGATTGTGCTCGTGCGAATCTAGTAGGTCCGGCTTATTTTATCGCCGAAGCAAATCAATACTATGAAGAACATGAGAAAGATTGGACTGGATCCTATGATTATGGTGCTCTTGATTCCAATACTGCAGCAACAATGGAGGGATTTTTCGGAGGATGCTTCGCACTCGATGCAGCTCTTGCAAGCACACTTCAATGTCTATATGATGTACAATGTCTCAATATCTTGCGCGATTATTTTTCCGGTTTCAATGAAGTATGTATGACATTTTTTCAGATTTGTTTGGAAAACCATAACATTCTAGTCCGCTTTCAAATCACTCGATCCTCTTCCGTCATCGATTCAAGAAAATTCCTCTGTAAGTGATCTTGTGGCTAATCTCTTCATTGATCAATGGTCAACAAAAATCAACTACTCCAGTTATTTTGAACAATGTGCTCCTTCATTATGCACATACTCCACAACTGATCCAATCAATTTTTCCTATAGCGTTACTCTGCTGTTGAGTCTTTATGGTGGTCTCACTGCCATACTTCGCTTGGTTGCACCTTTTTTAATCAATATCGTCGTGAAACTTAAACGTCATTCAGTGAAAAGCGTTCTTAACTGCGGTAGGCGCCGAACCATGAGGAAAACGATATTATTTTATGGAAACCTTTTTTATTCTTAGGATTATGGTTCAAATCTGTTCGCCATTTGACATGGTGGATGAAACAGTTGAACTTGTTCAAAGCAGCCGCCAATCGAACTGTGGATGATGTTAGACAACAACGTATCACGACGCGTTGCTATTTATTTCTCTTCGCATGTATGAATATTTGTCTGGAGGATCTTTAAGATAATGTAAAATTGAAAGTTGGCGAATTTCTGCATGATAGAGTACCACAAAATCGAGGCCCGCCAGTATCTAGAAAGGGTTTCCTTTCTATTCAATAGCAGAAAGTCAAAAAAGGGATTCTCAAGAGGAATTCTTTTATTTTGCAGAGGGTTCTAAATAAATTGATGAATGTATGAGAGGGTTTCGATATAAAAAGAAACTATTCTGTCGGAGATACTGGTATAAGTACTGATATTAGAATGAACAACAGTGAAAAGAAAGAACCGCTAGATGTTTAGTATGCTTTACTGAATTTGAAAAATACCTCTAAGAGAATACGATAGATCTGGTGATTAAGTTGCTTATTCTTTCTGTTACTGTCGTAGGTTCTATCGTCATTCTTGTTTCATTTACTTCCGTCACAACTCAGACAGTGACAGTCGTTGCATCAAATCCATCACTAAATCGTTACAAACAATTACAAATGTCAAATCCAAGTACACTGAAATGTCCTTGTTCGAATAGTACAATGCCTTACAGTACTTTTGCTTCCTTATCGGCCTCATTTCATCAATTATGCTCAAGTAATCTTGTTAGTGAAGAATGGATTACGATGCTGACACAAAGTGGATATGGTGTAGGGGCGGATAACATATGGTTTCTTAATTCTGGGGCGTTCTTTGGACAACTGTCGATTCTCTGCCAGTTAGCTAATAAAACGGTTTATGACAATATCAATGCCTTTCTCGCGCGAACTTTTGCTACTTCATACGTCCTTAACGAAAAAGATTTTAATACTCAATCAAATCAAGCTGTCCATCAACTGATCGAGTCGACTGTAATCAGTTTTAATCGTTTCATTGACGCGACAAGTCTTTTCTTTCAAGTTCATCAGCCATTGACAGAACAAGGCTCAAATGTAGTCCTCAATACGTCATTTGATATATATCAAGATACTGATCAAGAGTGGACACCAGTATGTATTTATGACGCTTCTTTCGCTCCTTTTTTCTGAGCACTCAGATGCGTTTTGATAAAAACGATTTCTATCAAAAACACCTCGCTCTAAGAAATATTCTATTTCCAAAACTCGGTGAAACACCATTGAATAAAGTCAAGAATAGTTCTCGAAAGAAAATGACGCTGCATGTGTTTCATATAATAAACAAAGTTTGAACCATTTTAAATCTCCCAATAAAATTGAAGAGATTTAATCAGTGCTTTTATTTGTTGTTTCCTCTTTGACCATCCATCTCTTTACTTCGAGTTTTAGTTGTTTTTACAGGTTCAGTTGATAAAAACAACAGCAAAGATTTGTAACTGTCACTTTCAATTTAGATTTCACTTCGTCTGAGATCTTTCCAGAAAAACTATTCAGATGGCGAGACATGCGAATGCGCTCATGACATTTCCTGTTACAGTCAAACCGAATTCCTACCCGACTGGATAAACAACTTCACATATCCGGGGCTCAATTTTTCCGTTCAAATAACTGATCTCACGGCACCAGGCGTAGTTTACGGTTGTTATACTACCAATTCAGTTCTCCTATCCACTCTACAAGCTTTTTATACGGATACAACGCACCTGGAAGAGTTGGTGCACTGTGTTCGTTATATTTTGTATAACAAAACTGGAACAGTCCCAACGTTGGATGTCGAACCATTGGTTTACAATCGATCCTCGAGTCGTTTTCCGCCGAAGTCTTCACTGGCATCGATTGTAAAAGAATTGATGGTTGAACAATGGAATGTATCATTTGCATTCGATCGTTACTATCAAACATGTGCGCCAACTTATTGCACATACACTGCGATAGCTCGTGCAAAGGATTCTATTGGAGTATTATTGACATTAATATCCATGATTGGTGGTCTGAGCATAGCGTTAAAACTACTCACACCTTTATGCATCAACTCTACCATTTGTGTATTCAAACCAAAAGTGAAGAAGAGGCAAGAAGGTAAGCGATGAATATATATATATTCACTTTCAACGATTGTGCCATTCGAATAAAAATTCTTCAGACATCCGAGATACAGGAGGCAGAGGAAAATGCATCCTGTTCCCTATTTTATTTCATCCGACAAAGAAACATAACTATAAGACAGCCAGATAAGTGGAGAGGGAATCCTGATCGTCAAGATCGTATATATCGCATTTGCCCTTTTTTCTTCTAGTTCGTCCAAAGTTGTGCGATCGTTTAAGAATGGCTCCTAAAAGTTTGCTGCAGTTTATCTTTGATAAACTAAAAAATTTGAATATATTTCCTGCACGAACATTTGGCAGTACAAGAGATCGCAGAACAATTAAATGTTTGGGACAGTGGGCAACTCGTCTTTATATAGTTCTTCTAGCTATTTCTCTCACTATTCTTGCACTTCATACAATTATTCAACCACAAGTACTGACAAAGACATATCCCAAACCTTCTTTACGTACTTACAACACTCTAATAAATGGTCATGGTAAGCAGCTTCAGTGTCCTTGTTCAGCGATTTCATCGGCATATGATCGATATCTTCAAATTCATGCTGAATTTCACCAGGTAAGAAAACTTAGATCACAATAGGTCTATTTAATGAGATGATGATATAGATTTGCTCCAGTGTTTTTGTTTCGGATCAATGGAGATTGGATCTTCTTGCAAATATAATGATTGATCTCTCTATTTATACAATCAGAGATTATCGTCGTTTTGTTTCCTCCCATTTGCAGTTTCTAAAAGGTTTATGTGAACTTTCGATTCAATCTGTACAGCAATCTGTTGGAGAAGTTTTATCTTCATTATTGGTAACCAGTGAATTATTATCTCCAGGAACATTTGAAGAACGTATTAATCGAACGATCGATCATATGAAAGCGAACGTACCTACCGCATTAAATCGTCTTCTCTATCTGCTTCGTATCACAAATCATGTCAATAACATTGTTTCTGATTATGGGACCAACTATCGATATATCGGTTCTCGTGATGGTAATCAATCTGAAACTATTGCATATACTCAACCATTGATCTATGACAACAATTGTTCATGTGGTTTAAATTTAAGTTGCACGACTGACGCTTCTTTCAATGAAACAGAATTAGTAATCATCAAAGGATTGAAAATGGGTTGTACACCAAGTGAATCACTACTTGCATCAACACTTGAATGTTTCCATAATTCATCGTGCATTGATCTTCTCAAAGAAATGACAAATGCCAACGAAAACATTACTGATACGAATGATTCAATTCCTTTAAACTTAACCAACAGTCGATTTGCTGTAAATACCGCAGTGATCGATCTAGTGGCAGAATTGTTTGTCGAGCGTTGGTCAATAGAGATGAATTATTCGTCATACTTTGATCAATGTTCTCCAATGATCTGTTCTTATACATACACTCAACAACTGAATTCAATTTCTGCAGTTACCTATATTCTTGGTTTTTTTGGGGGCTTAACAATTCTTTTCAAATGGATTTCTCCAATCATTGTTTCTTTTGTCAATAAAATTTATCAGTGGAGACAGAACAAACGTCAAACTCGTGTGGAACCCATATTTAATATTCAAACAACGATTGTTCGAATCAATGTGAAAAGCAACACTATTTCCGATTCCACAACTCATGCTCCAAAACAGTCGTAAGTTTCTATGTTCCACTCTTCCAGGATGAATAATATTTGTCTGTTTTTTAGAACAAAAAAGTGCCGTTATATAGTGTTTTATTTAATATTATTTTTGTTTATCACAATACTCATTCTCTTTCCAATTCTTTATACCATTCAACAAAAGAAAAACACTCACTGATAAACAAATACTCAAACTACTTTCTCTTTCTTCCGCAATGAATTCCATTTTCTTATAGCTTTATTCTATTTTTTGCCTCAAGTCTTTTGTTCTCAAGAAATGCTAACTCATCATTTAAGATATTAATAAAAATATTCCTGAACAGGTAACGCTCCTCTCGAGTGAGGCTCTTTTCTACTTCGACCCTCAATGCTCCAAAATATGTTTGGTTCAGTTTAGGTATGCTTATTAACAGAAAACAAATTAATCTATGTGACCAAGATATAAACTAATTTGCTAATATCAACTTTTGCTTGTTCAGCAATCGATCTTTTTTTGTCTAAATGATGTTAATTACTATAGATAAGATGTTTTTAATTGAAAATAAGTAACACTCATCAGGGCTCTGCATTCATTAAAAAAAACTGAGAAAGGTATAAAACAACAATAGCAAGAATAAATAAATGAAAGAAAAAATTAGAAAGATAATCGAAGACAATAGGAGGCAGTGGCGATGTTACAGATGATTTGAAGTAGTAGAAGACAGATTATAGAATAAGATATTTGGTGAAGTTGAAAACCGATAGTGATAATAAATAAATATAAATACGAATGGCCATTGTAGATAAGTGGAATTTTAGTAATTCATGAATCACGTGTGTGCACTAGACGTCGTTGTAAGTTGTCAACGTTACGTGTGCCTAATATTGGAGTAATTTCACTAATTCGTGATTCAGAAAAAAAACTTGTTCCAAAGATTGATTGTTCATAATTAATCGGTTCTTTTATTTTAATTGGACTGTTTAAGATTTGTTGTCGAATTTGATTGTAATTAACCGATGTTATGGGTTGAACGATTTTAAATTTTTGAAGGACAGAGTTAAATTGTTAATCAATAAGTTTATTTGGATATTGATTTAATAGCAATGCCATTCTGAGTTTATCACGTTGTTGAAGGTATGAATCAAGGGTTGAATAATACCTTATTTCATGAAGTAAAATTGCAAAGGGTATATTATTTTTTTATATACAACGGATACATACTTTTGAATGGCAAGTAATAGGGTTCATAATAATACAATAGCGCTCTATGACACTAAGAAAATGATTGGCTCTGTTATTGATCATTTCTTCAATGAAATAAAGACGTATGATGACGACACAAAATCTGAAAAATGTTTGATATGTCGCGTTAGCGTGAAACAATCTACAACGTCGACCTTTGACTATGGCCGTCGTATTTAACTCACAATCCCCGGCAGTTAGAACTCACGCAAGTGATTGTACATGATTTAATAATCGACTTGGGATTATCAGTTTCTATCGTTGATCATTCAACATTTTTACGCGCGATGAGCACGATTGATCCAAGATTTCCTATTTTATCTCAACGAGTACTTTGTCGCGAAACGTTACCATTAACCCTTGAACAAGCAATGACAAAAATGAGACAAGCCTAGAGCCATTCGAAATTTGTTGCACACACGGGTGACAATTTACTTCGTCAACTCGAAGATGCCACTGTAGCTTTTAGTATCGAAGAAAAGGTGGTTAGGATAGTCACGGACAATGCATCAACCTGCTTAAAGGCGTTCGAAAGTCTTATGATACCAGGTTTTGAGGTTCATTTTGAACCGAACGACGGCGAGGATGAACATGACGATGAAACCGATTCAGCCGATTATGAAGGAAATGGTCAAGAAGGTCATCTAAATGATGAAGAAGAGCATCTACGTATGCAATGCTTTTGTCACACTCTTCAACTTACAGTCGGTGGTGGTTTGCAAGAGTGCAAAACCAACTCTTGCCAAAGTTGCAGTAATCGAAAAACTCAGGTAAGATAAGTGATTTAATCAAATTTATGAGCAGCGGACCATTGACTGTGAAGACCTGTAGGAGCTCTCAACATCGTACACGTTGCTCAACAATCTTTTGCACAATGTTGGATTGTGTCGTACACTTCTCAGTTCCTTACTTGAATGATGCGAACTTTTCGGTGCTGCTACTATGGCGATGAAGAAACGTTCTACCTGCGATTTCTACAGAGACGACCTCTACTTAATTGCTCCTTTTTTGGATGGCCGTTTTAAGTTAAAATGGGTGCACGCATTAGATTAATCAGAATCGTCGAATGAACGGATGAGAAACACGGATGGAACGCTGGTACTTAAAGCAGCATTATAGTTGTCTAGTTTAACAAACTATTCTTCGGAATGTACCATTGAATCTTCCAGCACTGATCGCTGCGCAACTGATGATGAAATAGTTACAAAGGACAAAACATGCCGACAACGAAAAAACCATCACTTACGTTTCAAACGTTATCGTCGATTACCGGAAATCAGTCGCTCATAACTTTGACCCAAACCCGTTCGTCGAGCTTTTTCCAATCGCAGCAACAAAGAAGATTATTAGATAATAGATAAACAGAATATTTGGAAATACGTTCAAGCAAGCTTCCATACCTTTTCGTCGCCGTTCAAAGGATTAACCTTATCACACAACAAAAAAGAAAAAGACCCATAAGAGATAACAAACACTTCGCAAATCCGGCCCACGACGAAGACAGCCTCACACATCGTCTTTATATCAAGAAATACAACGAAATCGCTCGAAATTATTAGCTCCATAGAGGTATTCCGCGAATGGACAGCGTTCAAATCAGAGAAATCTCTCGACAGTGTTAATACATCTGCGCTTTTACTAAAGGATCTTCCACGAAAATATATTGTGATCATAACTACTCTTTTTAACAAATGCGCAAGAGAACGAAGTTTCTTCAAAATGGCGAAGCATGCGTAGGTAGTATGCCTATCGAAAGATGGAATCTTCCCTACCGTCGAGAAACTCCGACCGATATCTCGGACGCGAAGACTTACGTCTGACTGTAGCTGCGTGTAACAGTCAGATTTTCTCAGTGCGTTCAACACCATTCGGCACCCGTCTCTCATAACCAGCATGAAAAAGCTTGGCACTCCGACACCTCCTTTAAAATGGTTCTATAATTGGTTGCAAGATCGCACACTGGAATTGTACTTCGGAAATGAACGCTCACGAAAGATGTCTATGCATGTTGGTGCGCCGCAAGGATCCGTTCTTGTGGTCACACTTTTGCGCATGCATGTACATATGCTCTCACTTTAGTTGCGCGCGTTTGAATCGCATATGTTCGCAGATGGCTTGACGATCCAAATCTCTAGTGATATCGAGAAACGTCTAGCAAAAAATATAGCTGAACTCGAGATCAAAGCAAAGATTGTAATTGCGATCTTGGGAAAGTTCGCAAGAGATAATCTACTTCTCATAAACGAGAAAAAAACAAAAGATATGTTAGATCATTCAGCAGTTGCGTCCTCCAGGCCAAAAATAGCCTTTAAAGGAGAGCAAATAGAATATGTAAAGAGTTTCAAATATCTGGCAGTAGTAATCTGTACGAAATTGGGATGGAGTGTTTTCTTTAGTATGCGAGTTAAAAAGATAAGAAATGTATACAATGGCATGAAGGTCGCTTTAAAAAATATTGCGATGAGCGGTGCGAAGTGGAGAAAACATATTTTCGCGGCATTTGCAATGCCACACTTCCTCTGTCTAATGGCCGTGTGGTACTTCTTTAGATGCCTTGTATTTTTGGTAAACTTGCAGTGCTTACCATATTGCTAAAGAAACAGAGAGAAATTGGTCAAAAGAGTTAGGGATGAGGAAAGGAAACAAATTTCTGAAACGACTGAAGAGCAGGGCAAGGTACTCTTTGATAGATTGGAGTGAATTCGGTGCAATGCAAACCTACCAGAGAGACCTTTTCATCTCTGATTCTGTTCAAATAAATGAATTTATATGCGGATGTTCACGTCTCTCCCATCCTTTCTGTTTGTTGTTATCTTCTTTTTCATGTATCAGCACCATATATTATAATTTTCACTTTGTTTTGTCTTTTCTTTTTTTCTCTCTCTTTCTCTTGTCGCTTTCTATATGTTATACGTATGAACCTTAAAGGCACAATAAATGTGAATGAGAAAAAATAGAACAAACAGCATGTCAATGATGCATTATGCTCTTTCGATCACAGAATCGACGTCTACCCTTCATCAGTGCGTGAAGAAGAGAACGAGATAGAGCGGCTTTATTCAACACTTTCTGACGTCATTTTACAATAATAATCACAACAGAAATCTTTTGTTACTTTTCTTTTCTTTTCTTGAACATAAAAAATGATGTTACTATAGATATCGACAAGTATGTCTATTTATTGCGTCTTCACACGATTACCAACGGAGTTTGTCGGCCAATCTGGACTCTTAAAAAAGGTAGAAATCTAGATTGTAGGTATTAGCGTTGTCTTCGCTCGAGAGACGAAACTCAATCTGTTTATTCGAAACGATATGAAAGAGAATGTGTATCGAAGATAACAGAAACAGATGGAGAGGACGATGTGAAGGCATGTGTATGTACATGCCTGTAACAGTAGGGAATTTCCAAATATATATAATAGACTCACCCTCACTCTCGAGATCTAACGGTTCGGCGAATCACCCGAGGAAATACTCTAATCCGCGCAAAACATATCATACATGGGTGTGTACTCTGATCTTCTACAAAAATTTCACAACTATTTTATTGCATCGAAGAGAAAAAAATCATTTATGGAGTTCAAATTCATCAGCAACTTGATCATTACTATCATGGTAATACGTAAAATGTAAATAGGTTTGATTAGCGTAAATTGTAGTGTATCCATATTCAAGATCATGATATTTACTCCATTCAACAGATTTGTATTTGTCATATTCTAAGTTTTGACCAGCCATACCGATTAAGACATGTGTAATACCATCTGAGACGCATTTGTTCTGATACATTGGGCAAGTTCGTTCATATGAATGACTATGAGCGAATAGATTAACATCAACATGATATTTATAAAGTAATGGTTCTACATGTAGTCGAAGATATTTTGCTACAAGATTTTCACCGGTACTATCATCTTTCGATTCGTACATTTGTCGATGCGAACCAACAATCAGCCATGGTGTTAACGAACGATTAACAGAACGCAAATTATTTTCCATCCATTCGTATTGAGTGGATTTGGGACGGAAATCATGTTCAGTTGAGAACATAAGAACATGAACTGGACCAACATTAAAACTGTACCAAAAGAGACCATTTCCATTCGATGGTGAATGAAAACGATGAACCATAGGAACAGCACATTCACCACCTGAGTCTCTACCATAATTACCCCTATAAATAAATATTTAGCTGAGTCTATCAAACATATAGTAAATCGATCATGTTCTTACCATATTGGTCGAAATCCACCTTGACCAGGTGCATGACTAGGATCTTTTTCGCCACCAGTTTCATGATCATACTCATGGTTGCCGATACCAGTCATATAAGGCACACGGGCAGCTATGGGTTGTATTTGTGTCATAAATGCATCCCATAGTGCACCAATTCCACGTGCATAACTAATGTCACCAATATGTAATAGACACGTAACATTAGTAGAATTGACTCTTGCAACAACTCGTTCGATCGTAGATTTTGCACCCGGTTCAACAGGTGCTAAACCCATATCTCCATAAGCTATGATATAAACTGATTCTTCTTTAGTAGCTGGTCGATTAGTGAATGAATAAACACTCGACCAACCGTGTTCATCGGTTCCAACACGATAGAAATAAGTAGTCGATGGTCGAAGATCTTCTAATAATACTGTATGCATGTATCCTGGATCGATAAAATTCTGTGGTCCAATTATCGTAGCTTTTGTTTCACACATGTCCGATGCTTTATAAGTTATTGATGTACCATTCTTACAGAAGTTCAATGATGTTGGTGATAATCCATATAGACATTGTGGTGTGTATTGTAATGAATTCGTTAAATACGAAACATACATCTGATCAATTCGATCACCATAGGCAATATGAATATGCGTTGGTTCGTTATAATTGATCGGTTGAATGACGGGTGATTTTGCAATAAGTGTATAATTACCAGTGCATTTTGGTTGCCGTGAATAGTAACGAAAATCTAGTGAACGACGAAGATTCGTCATATACCAAGTAGTGCTACTTTGATTTCTTTGAACAAATTCATAGTCAAAATATTCACATGGATTTTGATCCGGAACTTCGGTATAGAAAACGCCAACAAAATCATCTTGACATGGTTGTGATACAGGTATCCAAGATACTTGAATTGGTTCACTACTGACATATAGAGTTTTAGACACATTCATCTGTTGTGCCGATCTTAACCGTCGTAGAGCAAATGGAGCTGCTACACCTGAACCTCGGTCACATGCATAAGGACTTGGTCCATCATTGACAGTATGCTGTTTACCAAAAGGACCGTTAGCATTCAAATGTTGATCACTTATAACTACAGCGAGCAACAACTGTAAAAGAACAAGCAAACATCTCATTTCAACAAAACAAAAGAAAAATAAACTATTGAAATCTTATGTTTTAAACACACAAAGAGAGAAGATAACGAAAAGCAAACTTTTGAAATTTCATGTTTTAAATATACGAAGGGAGAAGATAACAAAAAATAACTAGATGATATCACTCTGAAAAAATTTAGAAGCTTTTCAGAACCCCCGAAAATGGTTCTGACAAAAGTCAAAAGTTTCCTTTTGATCTGAAATTTCTAGAAAACGAAGAAAACATTTCACAAAATTCTTTGAAAGGTTTTAATTTTAAACACGGACAGAGTCCTCTTCTGCTATTTTTAAATATTAGAGGGTTCATGTTCATAATCAATAATTCTTATTGTAATCTGAAATGTATAAGTTCTGCACTTTCTTATGGTTGATTGCTTTTCCATTAATAGTACATACTTAAGTTGAATATCTATCCTTATATCTTAATCGATTACTTTTCTTTTACTATTGCTGCAATTTACAGTGTCGTTTTATGAAAACTACGTGTCGTATCACTTCATCGATTTGAATTTCATTAGCAGGTATATATTATGAACTTTATGGCAATGTTAAACAGCTTAAAAATGCATGATGAAATTAGAGATGGTGAGATGCAACGAATAAAACAGAATATTCAAGAAAAATACATTTGGTAGATTGTAACGATATTACCTACGATCATTCAATATTCATCATCGTCACTAAAAAACCCTAAAAGAACTAAGTTCGCAATGAAACTCTATTAAATCCACTAATGAACTCTCTGTCGCAACGTCCATTTATATTTTTAGACTTTATTGAAGCTTAATCGTTACGATCTGTACGTTTAAAGTTATATTTCTCATCTCTTACAATTTTCTACTGACACACATCTGCGAATATTCACCATAGGACTAATAAAAATGGTTTACATACCCATCACATCTTACTATCCACGCAGAATTGGTAAACAACAACCTCCGCTATGACTATCCAGACATGTTGCTAACTGTTCGAACAGGATGATATGAAACACAGTTTTTCTGCAACTTTTAATTATTATGTTGCACACAAAACTTTATGGTAAATTTACGTAAAAAATATCTTTTCTGCTTTTCGAACTGCAATAGGTGACAATAAGGAATTAATCCGAAGCAAGGGGGAGCTAATAAAAGTCAATAGAAATCGAGGTTAAATTTCTAATACTTTTCACTGATTCCTAATGATTTCCAAATCAGTGTGACACTAACACGAAGAAACGATGTGTTAACTAAAAATGTTTTGACTAAATAAGTCCTGCTCATGAAAATCACACCGTTCGGCTCAGAATTTAATTCTACATTGAATGGTAGTACTTTTATTCACGGGACAAACTTTGGAAAAATCTTTATCTTCCCTCTTGTTTGCCTCCTATAAGCTTATTTACAATTCAAATAAAATTAGTTTGATTTACGCGGTTGTTTTACTAATAGTTGATTACTTGCTGTCATTTCAATCAAATGAACAATATTCAAACGAGTGTTCAATCTGAAAGGATCATTTTTTATAAGAAATGTTGTTCTAACGCGTTAAACAACTTCATCTTCACTTTCATGTTGTGCATAATCAGATATTTTCTCTTCGTTCAATGTTTTAATTAAAAATAATGAACACTTTCGTTGATTTCCAAGAAATTCCCTCAAAACATAAAGAGATGATGAACAAGAACTAATGCTCCGCAAAATTGCAAGTTGATCCTTTCAAAAAAATCTTTTCAACGTCGTTACGAATTTCACGTCAAACGCTTCCTTGAGCAGTTGGTAATTTTTCTACAGCTAATTCGAACAATTTTAAGTCAAGAAACCAAATCTGCACTAATTGTCAATTTCCATTTCATAATTCTTCATTTAATAAACAATTTAAACTTCTCTCTCCCCAGTCCATTGATTATGTCATACGCCGTGTTCCAATGGCAAACGACATGTATTTTTCGCTTCCTTGATAATCTTTTTTCAACCGAAAATGAACGATTCAATTGATTGTAATGCTAATTCTAATAAAACACCTTCCTCATTTGGATAACCATCAATAGATGTTACTCTTTGCAAATGTGGCAATTATAATGTGCAATTACCCTCTCTCCTTAAAGTCTATCCTTTACATATTCCGTGTAAAAAGAAAAAAAAACAAACTAACTATGAATGGTAGATTAAGTTCTCACATGTATTAAATGTCATATACATGAAGAAAAACGAAAGAAAATGACTTGGAAATGTTCATTTGCTGAAAGGACAGAAAGATGATATACTTTGTCATAGGGAGCTATAATCTGTGTATCTTCCTCATATTATAAATGATTTTGGAAAACAACTCCCATCTATTCTCTTATATATACTTGGAATTTTCACAAAAGGAGGAAAATAAAAAATAGATCTTTGTTTATTTTTGAAAAAATGAATAAGTGTACTTGTTTGATGTATTCAAACAGTAAGTACACATGAAAATTGGTCAGTGTGTCCGTTGATTTGTACGACACTGTCGAAAGGAGAATCGGAGTGAATTGACTTTTTCTAGATATATAGCATCATCTCATCAGTTATGATATTGCTAATTTTCGGGACAAATTTTGTCTGCATGTTTACTATGCACTCATCCCTTATGATAGTGTTGTCATAGTTATAGGAAAACATTGATAGTGTTAACAGAGCAGTTCATACGCACATCCTCGTGATTAACAAAGTAGGAGATAAGAAATATATTTTATTAGTGAACAATTGCGTGGTTATAAACGGCGATGAGTAAATATATAATTTGCTTACAACATCAAAAGTGATAGTTCATGTTATTTTGTGAAAAAATGTTTCTTCAATGATCTCCATTAATATAATTCTGCGCTGCTGATACACACAGTACCATTGTTTCCACCTACGACGAATACTTTTCCATTAGTAAAGCTGACTATTGAAGATTCCTGCCGCCCGAGATTCATGCTCGAGGTTGTTGTCCAAATACCTGTTAATGGATTATACAATTCAGTGATGGTCTGATAAACACCCCCATTTTCTCCACCGGTGATTAACACTTGTCCATTCGCTAAGATGGACGATACTGGATATTGTCGTGCGGTACTCATACTTCCCGTTGTTGTCCATGCATTTGTTGACGGATTATATAATTCAGCGGTATTCACAGATGCAGCATTATTATTTCCACCTGCCACTAGCACTGATCCATTTGTTAAACTGGTTGCTGTATGAAATTTTCGCGCACTATTCATAGTTCCTGTTGTTGTCCAGATGCCTGTTGATGGATTATACACTTCAGCGGTGTTGAGAGCTCCGCCATTGTTTCCACCTGTAACCAACACTTTTCCATTAGTTAACATAGTTGCCGTGGGTGCTTCTCGTCCAGTACTCATATTTCCGGTTTTTATCCAGGTGCCTGTTGATATATTATATAATTCAGAAGTGTACATGTAAGTAAAAGTATCACCATTCCATCCGGACGAAACTAACACGGAGCCGTTTGTTAGGACGACTGCTATGTGTCGGTATCGTGCACCAGCCATATTTCCTGTTGTTGTCCAAGTACCTGTTGATGGATCATATAATTCAGCACTATTCAAAAACGTGCTGCTGTCAATCTGTCCGCCTGTAACTAATACTTTTCCATTTGCCAAAGTAACTGCTCTATGATGATGACGGGAAGTGTTCAAACTTCCTGTAAGTGTCCAGTTGCCTGTTGATGGATTATATAATTCAGCACTGGCCAAAGAGCTACTACCATTCCATCCACCTACAGCTAATACTGTTCCATTGAATAAGACAGATAATGTGTGATGCGTTCGTGCATATTTCATGCTTCCTGTAACTACCCATACTAAACAAACAAGCAAAAATACTACGTCGTTGTCCTGTTAGTTTTCAAATAAGTCATTATTAACTTCAATGAATGTAACGTTTGTTCAGATATCTCAAAAAACGAAAGTTCCGTTGAGTAGTCTACTTACTACTGAAAAAAAATCAATCAAAGCTTCAGACTTCCTCAATTTCTTCACACGGATATCGTTTTCGGAGAAAAAGGAACTCGAATAGAACAGACAAGCTGATTTCGTAGAAAATTGAAATCTCATATAATAAAAATACTAACCTGGTGGCGCAGTGGTAGTTGTTGACGTTGACGACGTTGATGTTGACGACGTTGATGTTGACGATGTTGATGTTGACGTTGACGACGTTGATGTTGACGATGTTGATGTCGCAGTCGTTGTTGTTGACGTTGACGATGTTGATGTTGATAAAACTAATGTCGACGATAAAGATGACAGTGTTAATGTTGAGGACAAAGATGACAACAATGTCGAAGTCAACAAGGATGATGTTGATATTGATGTTGTAGTTGATTCTATTTTAACAAAATGAATTTTATACACGAAAATCAGTTGAAAAAGGGATATTTAATCAATGATCATTCGATGTAACTTTCATATCGAAAAATGTATATGTTACAAAAGAACACTGGTCAAAGGCAAGAAAGTATGTCTTATTTCGAGAAGTGATTTTGCTGTCCATTCTATAGATGAGTAACTGTAACTATGTACTTTGCTTTAAATATCACACGGTAGTTATTTTCTATTGTAATATATTCTATCGATATTTACCGGTAGGAAATCGTGTTCCAGAGATGACAACCATCGTCATTGTATTCATACTAAATGACATATTTGTATTTTGTTCTATTGCATTGTCAAACAATGAACAAATTGGAATTGATTGATAAAAAGTCGCTGCTTTGCATTGAATTTGTTTTAAACAAGAAATTTGACATTGACGAATATTTGATGTTGTAAGATTGAAGAATGGTGAACAAGTTGTTTGAGCACATTGGAATATGAAATTATTGAAAAGAGACATTGCGATTGATTGTCTATTTTCTCCAACAATTTGTTTCATCAATGTAAACAAAAGTAAAAGAGTAATTCTTTTTGTATTCATTGTGACAAAGAATATCACTTGATGAGATGAGTTTATTGTAAAATGAAAGTGTTAACAATATTTGGAGCAATAAATACAATTCACATTTCTCTCTTTCTTTTGCTCTATTTTATTTTGTCGATGAAGTTAAATTCTAATAAACGCTTTTTTCGACATCCTTCAAAAGAGAAATCATCGCCGTGAGAAAAGAAATAGTCGACTTATTTAGCGCAATATACAAATGTTGCTCTTTTGATTAATTTACTTGAATTGAAAATACATGATTTGCACAAGAAGAGTAAGGAAAGTATGACTTCTTGTGGGAGCTACGAAATTCATTCGTTCGAAGAGAAAAAGATCAGTTTGTAAATAGTTAATCTGTATGAAAAACAATAGTTCCCTTGTTTTGCTGATGAATATATTCTGACGTGAAGATTGTTTTATTCATGATGATGAATACCATCTTTCGCGGAAAGAAGAGTCAAATACATCGAATTCCATAAATATCTTTTATATTCATCAGTTCATTTAAGTGAAATCAACAACGAATGTGATTTGTCAAATTTGAGATTAATTATTTGCTTTGAAGATCAGATTTGTATATAAAGGCAACGGATTGATTAAGTAATTTCAACGTAGAACAGATTTTTGTCAAGTATAATTCAACTTGACAGTTTGAAGGCAGTTGAGAAAGTACGGAATGCTGTTACGGATCAGAATGACTACGAACATCAGTAAATTAAAAACTTTTTTCTCGGAAAAAGAATGTCTTGCTAATGAAGAGACATTTTGTGTCGAAAGAAATGTATTTTTTCGAATTGAACGTTAGAAAACATAACTAGTAATGAAATGCATCACGACTCCTGTTTTCTCGGAAAGAAAAACTACCTGGAACATTCTTTCTCTGCTCAATAGATCTATTGGTTGATGACCTAAATGCACATATTCATTACATCAACTTGATCAGATAAAAAAGATGAAACATGGGGACGTGACTTTTAGCTATGTGCTCACACCCACATTCTCAAAATGTTTATTCCGTTCGAATTAGTGTAAGCAACACATTGTTCTCTGAATTTGGAACTTGATTAGTTGACTTTCTCTTGCTTCTTTTTACACGATTTTATGGAGATCAAAAGCCTGCTGATATCTGTCAACAATACCCAAAAACATGACCAGGTGTTTGAAGTAGATGGTACGAAACATAATACATTCACTAATTTCTTTACAGAGATTTATCAGATTTGAGTATGTCATTGGAATTCATAGTCTCAACTTCCGTCACCCTTAAGAAAAACAATGTATAAAGAAAAAAGAAGAAAAAAAGCATACAATATAACAATATAATAGTGTGTGCAGATTTGATTACTGGAGAATGATATCACTGGAGAGTTTTATTTTATTGTGGCTCTCAAATCATTCCTTTGCTTGGCAATAAATTGTATACAAAGTACGATATAATACAGAAATAAAGAAGAAGGAGAAGCTTTTATCCGAAAGTGCAGTTGTAGAGAGGATATACGATACACCCAACAGACGCCTTTCACAAAGTGAATCTCCCCTCATATCACCAACATACTATTTATCTTTCTGATATATGGTTACATTCCCAGGTTTCAGTAATCGCGCGCGGTTTATTATGATTTCTATTCGTATAAGCATAGTAACACATTCCAAACATAAGATATTTGCAATTCGTGTACGTTTTGTTGATTACGCTAATAAATGTTACAGTTTCATGATATTAAATGACATACTGTAGAATTTCGATTGTTTTTATTTTAGTTATAAAGATGTATCAGCGTCTGACAAACGAAAAAAGTATTTTTCATCTAACTAAACGTTTAAAAATCATAGCAGATTTTATACAATTGGGCGACATAGAAGAAATCAATAAACAAGTACAAGCTGTACGTGAGCTAAATCTCGAATATATCTGTTCATCCATCATCGAAGCTCTTGAACAAGCCCAATATGATCATGCGGTTCAACAAATTAATGTTTTACTTAATCGATACAGTGAAGTCCTGATGTTCATTGATCCTGAAATAGCAGCACTTCAGCTCGAATTGAAAAATCTTCAAGAACGTTTGAGTGAAATAGAACAGAATAAACAGAATATGTACGCGATCATACGTACCTATCGAATTGAAAAATATAAACGACTAACTCCTGTTGAAAGTGCTATTATTATTGCCAAACATAAGTTCTACTTTCAGAAAATGCAGCATATACAGGTATGAACATTAATTAGGTAAAGTATGATTTTAATATCTTCTCGAAGTTTAGGCAAAAGCAACAACATCTGGTGTTGACAATACAGTAGAGCTTGAGCAATGTCAAAAGTTGTATGAACAAGTTACATACGAATTTGAACAATTTGAAAAACGAAAGAAAGAAGATGAAAATTACTACAATGAATCACGAAGAACAAAAGGTACGTTTTGTTGTTTTTCTTGAATATGATCAAATTCAAAACAGTTTATGTTCTACTCTATAAGTACAAGTGTAATTCTCTGAGAAAAATAATTGTCACTGATTTTCGATTATTGAAAATGAAATCATACGAGAGAGTACATTTTAAAATACATTCTCATCGTAACGAAAAATCCAAATTGAATTTCTCCAAAGTAATCTATGTGTAATAGGGAAAAGTTCAAGTCATTTGAAAACTGATACAACGATGGATGAAACCATGAGTGAGATGACAAAATTATATCGTGAAGCCGTCTTTCAATGTCATCCAGATCGATTCTCCGAAGATGATCAAAAGCAATTAGCTCATAATATATGTACTCGTTTGAACAATGCATATGCTCAACATGATTGGGATACTGTAAGACTTATTCATGAACAACTTAAATTGGGTCTATTAGCAGTTAATGTACCTGTTGATAATGCCAAAAAGTTACTACGTCTAGAACGTGATGCATTACGACAACAATTCGAGATGAGAGCAAAACGTTATAAACAAATTTATTCTCTTAACGAACAATTTCTTACAATTGTACCAACGCAGAATCATGTGACACCATATCTCGAAAGAATGGAAGCACAACTTCATGATGAACTTGCTGACTGGAATCGTCAAATAGAAGAATTCAATAAAAAAGGTAAAATACGTTCTGTTCCTCAACAAAGATCATAAATCTCGTGAATCAGTTAAGTGTTATTGTTCTCGATAGGATTTTAAAGATATGACGATCGTTGTTTTAAATGAGACACGAACTGAATCATCTATAAACAATGATCTTTTAGAAGATTTCTTTTTATACTAAAGACATAATTATCAGGTAACTATTCGATAGTTTAAGATTACATCAGTCTTAAGTAGATCTCGTCTTATAAACAATGTCACACACACTTCTTTTCTTTTCATTTTCTCTAAATTAATCATTTTCTATTCCAATTCAAAATTTTTTTATTTGTAAAATAGATTTGATTGTAGCTGTTTCAAACAATTTCATTGATTCACAACAATGGTACGTTGAAATCATCTTCATATGTATTTAAATCGAAGATCATTTTGTATAATCATAGTATTAAGCGAGATTGGGAATATTTAATAAAACATCCTCTAGAAAATATTATGATAGATCCAATTAACGATGATGATTTATATCATTGGCAAGGAATATTCATCGGTCCAAACGATACATCATATAAAGATGGTTGGTTTTTAGTTCAAATCGATTTTCCTCATGATTTTCCTAAGAAAAAGCCAATGTTAAAATTAACGACAAAGATCGACCATCCGAATGTGACTACTGAAGGAATTATGAAACTCTGCAATGATCAATCCTGGTCATCACATGATCATCTTAGATCGTATTTACTGAGAATGTATCAAATCATATTTTATCCTAAGGTTCAATCTGATCACAATTCATCTCAATCGATGGCGATTCAACAGTTCCGAAACGATAGAACAACATTAGATGAAACACCAAAACGATGGACAGATACTTATGCAGTGCTATATAATACTCGAGAAAAATACATTCAAAAATCAGATTAATTTGCACAATAGTTCGTTCAATCCAGAATGCGACAAAAAAGTTAATACCATTAACTCTTATACAATTCAAGCGATTTAGCCGGTTTTTGTGTATTTTGCTAAGATGTTTTCTGAAGTTTTTTTGTTTCATCATATTTGAATTTCAACAAATATTGCAAACAAATGATTACCAACATATAAAATCACATTAGATCGACCAGATAGGAGAGAACAAACGTGTGAATGTCAATTATGTATTCACATTCTTATTTTGAAAGAATAATCAGAGTTTATTGGAATACGCATTGAGTTCTTTTCTTCATCTTGTCAATATTTTCTTGAATGTGAACAACTGATGGATGATTTGATGGTAGAGAAATGAGTAGAATTTTCCACGCTTCTTCAGACATTTCTCGAGAATTATTTAAATCATCAATAGTTGATAATGTGTTTTATCGGTATCTCCTTGATAGATATCGATAACAACGATTTTAATTCGAACATCATTTACTTTAGCATCATAATGATAATCTGAAAGCACAATGATATAAGATTACTGATCAAAACGACTTTATTTGTCATTTCTATGCAAATCTATTCGATGATCTTCTCATCAGACATGGTGAATAGGCGCAGCATCGTTGAAAGTGACAGATTAAAAATTCTTTCTAAAAACGTTCTTTATACAACTGAATTCTAAAAAGTGTATTTGTGTACAAAACATTTATTTATTTTTCTTCATTGAGATCGAAAGAGAAACTTGTCGATGAAACAGTAGGATGTTGTGATAAAAAAATGTTGAAACATACTCTTACTCTTCGTTTTTACTTATCGAAGAATTCGTGAAAGAGCACAAATGTTCAGAAAACAAATTCACAATAGTTCTGTTTCTGTTAAGAATGACTTCTCATTGTTCTTTTCTATCTTAAGATGAAACATTTTCAAATAAATCTTCGTTTTTCTGTCGATGGTATAACGATACAAAATAATTTGAAGATCTTTACTTAACATTATTTTACTTTACATGATGAATGAAATCTGAATTTCACATTGAGATTTTGTGAGGTATAACACGATTCCGGTGAATCCATCGTCGAAAGATCATTCGATAATGGAAAAGAGTCTTTTGAAATTGTGTCATATACAATTTCGATGGTAAAATCCAAATAAAAAATGAGAAAAGAAATGGAATAAATGAAATAAAATATCCTGAAAGAAATAACCATGATCCATCATTCGATGTCAAACATTTTGAAAGATAAAATATCAGAATACGTGGTAATGAAAGTATAACTAAAAATATTGGTGCGAGAAATAAATGGAAATGTCGACGAAATTGTTCACGGAAAATCTTTTTATAATTCTTCGTTGGTTCAATATTCGATTTTTGATGAATTTTCTTTCGAAGAATAACAATCGCGGAAAGAAAATTGATGAAAATTGGAGGAAAAAACTGAATCGAATTAATCAATGTATTATAAAGTTTTACTTTCGATGAATAACGAACAATACACCATGTTCGTTGATTTTCTTCATTAATTACATATCGATTTACAGGATCATGAATCAATGTTCCACTTATCACAACAATAATCATAAAAATAATCAATTTTGCTCTTTTTTTACTTTTTCCTTTGGAAAATTGTGCACCATAAATAACAGCAATTGCTCTTTCAATCGCTACACACGCATTTAACCATTGATCGATATTTAAACAAGTTCGAAGAAGAAAATCCATTGAATAACATTGTATTCGCAAAAATAATCGATTATTAATTCTATTCATTTGTATTAACATTAAAATTAGAAATTTCAAAACGAATAAAATCATTGTTAACAAAGTCAGAATTGATGAAGAGAAGAGATATAAACCACAACCAACTTCTAATATAACTTTATTTTTGAATGTTATTAAAGTTAAAATCCCATTAATTAATCCTCCAATGAACAAAATCATGGTGAATATGAAACTGATTTGAATAATTCTCGTCTGTTGTGTAAATTTGACATCAGGTTGAATATGATAACCTAAAATAGCATCAAGTGATATATCAAATTCTTCTGTATTAAATTGACAATATGTTCCATAAGAACATACAGAACAGAAACATGTAGATCGTTGAGGACAATCTGATTGATCTTGAAAACAAAATGCATTGTTTTCACAAACACTTTGACCTGAACAATTGAATTTCTGATAATGATCAAATTGAAAACAATTCGTTAAACGTTTGTCATAATGATTATAACATAAACAAAGATGAAGATCATCATAGAAACATGAAAGATTTGTTGATTGATCTAAACACGGTAAATGATAATATTTAATACGTTGAAGTAAATGTAATTGAATAAATGATTTATTGAATATTTCTCGAATATGTGAACAACGATCAGATGAAGTTATTGTTTGATTAATTCGATATAAATAATAATTTTTTTTCAAATCTTCTAAGAAAATCAAATGAAATATTCGTGACCAAGTTATGATTAAAAAATCTTGTTTTATATAAGAAATTGGTTGAAGAATTGTTGTTCGTAATGGTTTGTCATTGTTTCTAACTGTAATAAAATGAATAAATATCGATTGTGATATACGAAGATTATTATCAAACGATAAAGACAATCGATATGTGTCGAAAATTTCACATCGATCTCCTGAATAACCTTGGGAACAAATACAAGTGAAAGAATTCTTTAAAACAAGATGTTCATCATTTGGAATACATTGACCACCATTTTCACATCTTAAATTTTCTTTTTGA